ATATCCAACCTGTCGCCTGCTCTGTTTCCCTCGACTCGCCAATTTACTCGCTGCATTTGCGGGTTCATTTCCAGAGCCGCTGACTGTAAGTTTAAAATGAAGGACTTTGTACAGAATTGCGGAGAAAAAATTGTAATGGCTGCATGGTATTGATTTAATCGACTCCCTTTCAGCCCTTATAACACATGTAAAACTAGGCATGCCCTAATGGTCCCAATGCAAAAATTCCTGGTCTGTCGACGTGGATATATGCCCTTCACATCGCCTGCTTTCTCCTCAGTTAATCTTCGGATTTACTCACGAAATAATGGCGTCGTCAGATTCGTTCTGCTTCTGCTTTCGCAGCTCCTATCAGCCTGTAAATCCATCAAGGGCTGTATTATCATTCTGGGCTCTGTCACGTGGGTTATTTGTCCGCTGCTTAGCACCCATTTTATGCTGACTCGACTGCATCCCTTCCGTTCATGGACAAATATGCCTGCCGTTTTCGTCACCTAATTCGCTCGTCACACTAAAAAAGCTGCGACTTGATGAACAAGCTCGTCCTGTATCCACTTGTATAGTGTTTAAGTAGGGACACGACATAAATGCTATGACACATGAAATTCATCTTCCGAAGCTTAGGTACAATTTTCACAACTTCCACGCCCCTTACATGCCTTTAATCATAAAGTCTACAAGGACGATTACTCATGCATTCCATGTCAGGCGTTTTATCACAAATGTTCCGTCATTTTTGACTGCGATGTTGTTCTCGTCATGAGTATCACGGTTGATATTTCGTGATTCTGGACCTACCATATCGCCGTGAACGCTGTTATAAACTCATCAAGCACCTTACTGAACATCTAGGTGATTTGGTGTCATTGGTCAATTTGAAAGTTATTGCAGCACGTAACTGATCGGCTATCTGAAACAGACATCCAGTTTTAATTTCTCGTCTGGTGTTTTAAAATTTTCACGCGACTGCCACGTTACATACAAGTACGCGTTTTGATGGAAAAAGAGCTTTCAAGGGTTAGTATCTGTGAAAGCAAAAATATGTCCATTCGTCTCATTAGCATTAATAGTTTTATGTCGATAGCAGGTCCTTCGCATACGGTGGAAAACAGCTAGAAGAAAAGGTACTTTCTAGCACGCTGCGCGGCCTTTATCGTCCGCCTGCCCATCAGGTTGACAAACTAACAGCCTACGGCTCGGTAGTCGGTCTGAAGTCATTTAACGCATTTCCCTCAGCCAAACACAAGCTATATATGGCGTTTGCGGTGTCAGTACCGACATTGTCGTGCCAAATGATGGTTATTTGTCTTTGTGCTACAGATGCGTATCTTCGTTCTAGAACGGTTCACGGCCAACGAAGATGTCCTCAGTACAAGTCAATTTAAAATGACTGGAAACGGGCGAACCGCATACTCTGCTTACTAAGAGACATTGTGGACTATGCGATGTAGTCACCCCGTCTTGTGGAATTCCAATTATGCCTTCGGGATTTCCTATCGGATAAAAAGTATTTTTTGAAAATAAATCACGAAATGGCGATTACTGGTGTATGACTTGCCAATACATGTGTCTGCGGCAAGGGCATGCTTTCACGCAGGTTCCACTATGTGTGAGAACGACGGAGGTCTCTTTTACTTTCCTCTTATTTGTCGTTGTCCTGTGGCCACCGTATATCACTGATGGCCGCTCGTGTTTCAACCAGTACCTTTGAAAATGTCTGTATATTTTGCTGAAAAGACGACAAAGGCGCGATCACTGGAACGATGGCTCTGTCAGCCTGATCTTTCGAGCAGATGTTTGTCGTCACTGACTTTTGAATTGCAACAATGTGTACATATTTACACAGTTGTACAGTGGAGGTAGAGGAGGGGTTTACGCCCGTGGTTTGGTCTGGTTCGCGTCGCCTGGCCTGCAATGGACTCACAGTGTAGTGACGGCGTTTGCCCCGGCGAGCCGCGCTACCTGGCTGTGTGGGCGTAGGGCGTGATAAAGGACGCGGATATCGGGGCTGGCAAGCATCAAGACAAGGCGGGACTGTTGGAGTCGCGAACGCCCGACATCAACTCTATCAGCAGACATATTGACTTACCTCCCGTGTTATCGTGCGCTCCACCCTCGCAGCCAAATGTTGCTGCTGACATCTGCGCCAAGAACTCCGTAACCGGGCCGTCAGTCCGCTGCGGATCAGGCAACGCGAAACAGACCTAGCCAAGAACGTAAACCCCCCCCCACCCGTGCCCATGTATAAATCTTCACATGTTGCTGTCATAGATCGGTTTAAGGACTTATTCGAGAACATACGTGCATCTACATTTTCTAAAATATTTTACTGATTATTTGCCAGATTTGATAATTGTCCAATTTATCTGTTCTCCTGATAATCCCTTTTCGATGAAAACGGATTTTCTCATATGGCGTGACTTACAGTAGATGTGCTAAGTTATATTTTCATGTCGAAGGCGCATTTCAGAATTTCAGCTGAAATTACTTGGGTAAGCACATCCTCTGTAAACTGGCGTGAAAATTCGCGTCCAAAAGCATGGCTGACAACGGAAATTCACACGACTGCGAATCAATTTAACACTGGTGGACAAATTCTCTAAGCAGTTACTCGCGACGCAGAAAATGACAAGCGCTGCATATGTATTGAAGATAAAGTCATCTCTGTAAAGCGTCGTGGAGTTAGCTATCTTACTGAGGAAGTTCTTTAGACAATGAGTCGACGCTCAAAAGGGCTGGAGACTGTAATGTAAGCCATCAGCGATATAGATGTCTCCTACTCTCCCTGTAGGCATGTATCACAACATGTTTTGGCCTATTTTGCATCCGCTGTTGACAGCCCACTTTTCTATCGCAGAAACCTTCGCAGTATTTCTCCGGCAGATATGTGCAGTCGGGCGCACTCAGGGCGCAAATGTGGGCAATGTGCAGTCGCATGGGTTCGTCTGACATCTGCCTGAGGCAACCTAGACTTTGCTTAATCGCAAAATAAAGTATGCTCCCTTTTTTGCTACCTTCAAATATATATATGTATATGAGAGGTGAAGGCAAAATCGGAACCATAGTTATATGAAGACAATATAACTATGATCCCCGAGTTTTACTCGTCTTCTTAATCATGTCAGGGGACGCGCATATTCGCTTCTATCAGCATATATCTAAATTGCAAGAGAGTCATTCCGATAAATGTAATTTAAGGAGAATAGATCCTTTGGAAACACCCATGTTTGGAGGGTTACTGTCAACATTCTTTCCCGGCATAATTTAAATTCTGCAAACTTATCGAATTGATGATTCTGTGAGGGTTTCGAGTTGATTCTTTTTAACAGAAGCAAATCTGAGGTCTACATGCCGTATTCACAATTCGAGGTTAACGAGTGGAAGAGCCGTACACTCTAGTTTCCGCATTGTTATTTCTGGAATAAAGTCAGAGTTAGTCGATCCGATCGAGACTATAGCAGTCGGGTATGTCAACATATTTTTGTAGGTGCTTCATCCGTGTTGGAGACTTTAAAGTGTTACGATTAGGTGATTTCTGGTTTCTGCTAGGTTTTGTGTAGAGGTGTTTTTAGGCTGAGTTACCTTTCGAAAATCTCAGCATCTTTTTGTTGTAATCCGTTTTGTTCAAAATCGTTGTTAGCCCCCCCCCCTCTTCGTCTGCTGAAAGAATAGTGAAATTCTTGTCTGCTTCTAGACTTTTTCATGCTTTCCATTCATCAGGTGATGGTGCTGAGTAGTGGTTCCGATCTTTTAGGCCGTGAAATGTACTTTTTTAGATTGTAAACCGTTCGTCTTCCCGCAGGGTCGCTGTTGATATGATTGATTATAAGTTCGCAGGATGACCTAGGTTATCTCAATCCGAAAGGTTGTATTTCATCTCTTTGAAATGTACGGGCTACTGGTGGTGTAAGGACTCTCGATGACAGATGTATGATCAGTCAGCATTCGAGTCCGGAGGTAAAAGTGGTCGCTCCGTTTCAATACTCAATGATATGGAAGGATTATCGTGTTGCTCCTTCGAACAAAGTCTCTAATTTTTCCCAGACAAACTACTGTCTTCCGCATATATATGTACTATCCTAAACTAAATTCTGGAATATACTGTCCTTGAACAAAAGCTCCGCATAGATTTGATTTCACGACAAACAGTTGTTTATTCCTTAGGGGATGCTGAAATGCTTAAACGTCTATACATGTCGTTTGTAATTACTAAACGCTTATTCTGCAACCGGTGCGCTCCGATTAGATCATTACTATTTAAACATGCTTTTTCTCACACGGCTAATTGCATGAGAGTGATGTTTGTGTCCGATGTGGGTTCAGAGTCTGGAATATATATCCTACACCGTTGACATGATAGAGTGGTTTCCAAAGGGATGGTGATCTGTCCGGCTTACATGTACGTCATTTGGTGGCATATCACATGAAATTGCGATGTACCTCCGTTTATCTTCGCGACTTTGGCATTTCTTAATTAATTTCCCTAAAGGTAAAATAGGCTGACCCTTTCCCATCAAACCTTTTTTATTTTCCATTTAAGGGACAATCGCTTTACCCTGCGTTATGCGTTTATAGGAGCCAAAACTGAATGGAGATGAATTGCCGCTTCGTACTTAAGTGTGTGTCTTGATATTTTAATAAAACCGTGCCAATTTCTGGCATTAGCAGCCGGACTGGGTAGTCAACTATGGCGGAATAAACAGGGGAGTCGCAGGCAAACATTTGTAATTGGCGAAAACCTCATGTGATGCCCCCAAACCAATCGATGAGTTATTGCCATACACATTTATTGCGACGACGGCAGTTTTCACTTGGTTGCCAAAAGTGCGATCTGGTTAGAGCCAATTGCTCAGCCCTAAATATACGACCCATATAGACCAACCAGCTTATTTCAGAATGTTCTTTACCCCATCTTCATTCCTATATATACTTGTTCAGCTGCTACGTCTAACAGTCAGGCGTTCAGTTCTCCAAAGGTCCAGATACAAGTCCTCTTCCAGATGCTAAAACTACATTTATTCATCAGCCTTCTCATCTATAGGGCGCGCGCGGAACTTGTATTTTGGCGTAAGTCCAAAGAAATTACCTGGCAAGGCCATATGTTTATTTTTACTCGTAGTTTTACCTGCAAGGGTTTTCTTACTGCTTCTCTTAAGGACTGTACAATCCTCACCATTTGATTATTCCATTTGAAGTATGTCTAGAGTTATCCATTAAATATACCACAACAGGATTAATAATTGCATTGACTGGTCTACATAGTATTCACTGCCCTTGCATGTAATGCCCTTCCTTATGACATCTAAAAACAATACATGAGAAACTTTACCTGTCTAAAAGAATATAATGAGGATTTATTTACTTGTTTACGTTACGGTTCAGATTTCTAACATCAGCTGCATTTTACAGAAAACGGCATGGTTATAATCCAGCACCCAATTTACACTACAGACGATTTTTATTTGCGTTTGTCGTCCTAAACTAGATATGCTATCTCATCAAATGCTGTCGGAAATTCTGAACTTAGTTGCTATTTCGGAAAGACTGCTTTGGTGGTTTGTAATATCGCTTATTGCGTGGCATATTTCTAGGACAGTTTGGACGTTTTACGATGTCGGATTTTAGACGGGCTCCTTTCTGAAACTCTTTAAAATCTACATTCCGTAAAGAATAGCCACTTATGTATGTAAATATGTCTCTTCCACATTGATGCCGAATGCCCGTATAAAATCAAATATTTCTATAGAAATGTATTTTATCTCTTACGCATTACACATAAAATTGGCTCTGTTAGTGCTATTTATAAGGAAGGAGCGTCTTTAGGTTTTGGGAGTCTTAATCCTGAGGTCTTTTAAGACCGCAAAATGTTCGCTCAAGCGGTATCGCATATGTAAGTCAATTGCTGCTGTTGATAAATTAGGCAACATGCTTTATCCACTGCAATCTTGTAAGGGGCTTACCAAACGTCTTCTTACTAGTTCATAAAATTGTGCGATATAACTTTCACGGAAAGTACGAAGTTTGTAGTTTGGAAAGACTGAATGCAAGCGCAACAGCGGTCAGGTTCGAGGCTATTCAGTATTGAAAACGTTTTTTTAAAACTGAGTGATACTCTATCTTATAGCATTATATATGAAGGAGACGTAATCTGCAACCTAATTTACAAATAAATGAACATTTTCGTGCACACATTCAAATATAGTTAATGCAAGTGTGCACAAAAGTATTTTAATTTTTCACTTATTAGATAAAAAATTGACTCTGCAAATTTTATTTATAGGGAAGGAACGTATTTAGGTTCAAAACGTTTTAATCATGAGGTCTTTTTAGACCGCGAAATGCCCAATTATGCAGCATCACCTCAGTGAGTAAATCGATTCTGCAGATAAATTAGGCAACCTGTTTACATCCACAGTAAAATTTTAAGAGGCCCACAATACGTCTTCTTCATAGCTCATATAAATGTGCGATGTAATTTTCACGGAAACTATAATGTTTGTAATTTGCAAAGCATGAAAGCGAATGTAATGGCAGGTCGGTTTCGAAATTATTCGTAAAGCAAAAGGTTTTTTCCAACTAGACGATAATTCATATTTAAGTGCTACATTCTGACGACGACGTAGTCATCTGCCAAATATGTAGAAGAAAGAACATTTTTGTGCATGTTTTCTACAAGGTATGTTTGAATTTATAAGAACATCAAAAATAAAATGCAAAACATCGCTCCAATTTCGTACCCACTTATAGATGAGCGTAGCTTATATGGGCGGTCAGAAAGAAACTCGTTTAAAAGTCAGCATCCTGTCCTGACTGAAATATATTGAAAATACGCCACGTGATAATTGATTGAGAACGCTTCTTTAATAATTTTTTAAAGTTGTAAACTCATCTCTGAACTTCAGTTGACATTTCACCAAATTATCTATCCACTGTAACTTTCACTGACTGAAAACACTACTTACTCGCATTTTAAGAGGTTATCCCTAGTCTAAGTCCAATTTCGACTGATTGAAATCAGCACTACAGAGTCACAAGTTATTCTTCCACTGCTTCTTATGGATGTGACTTGCAATACTGACTTTTATCTCTTAACTGCTGTGCATATTGTATGCGTTCGAAGCGATAAACAGAAGGGGATCGCTGATGTGGGAGGCAGAATGCATCGAAGCTGCCTTCTCGATTTCTTAATTCCAGATAGCTGTTGACGAGTATTACCACCAGTTGCATCATAATCGTCTTTGACTTCCTATACTGAGGGTGCTAAGATATCAAACATATCAAATATCCCAAAAAATATCATTCGAAGGCTCTTTGTCTATGCAGCCTCCCAGCTGTATGTGCGACCGGAGTATGAGACTGCCACAGTGCTTCGAGTGTTTTGGCGCGGATAGGAGCTGAAGGATGGGACCTCTTGAAGGATGACGACTCAGGCTATACGCGTCACCCTTCTAGGTCAAAAAGGTCTGTAGGCGTGTGCTATGCCAGCAAACCATGGTCCTCGCAGCCTGGTGTGCGCTGGCGGTTCCCTGACGCCTGGTTCCCTGCCGGTAGATTCGCCTGCGCTCCCGCACATTGATGGGCATGGCTGCCCATTCATCCTCGTCGCTTTGGCCCCTGTTGTTGGCGAGATATACTGGTCATTTGCTGTTTGAACAAGGGAGTATGATTGCGCGCCTAGATGCGACTCCGGACTTGCAGATCACCTGCGCTCTTTCCCCAACTCCAGTCTTCTTGACCCTGCCTTTCGTGAAGGTATGTCACAGCATGGCACGCCTAAACGACCGCATAGTTGTGTCCTCATTCAAATCAGCATACTTCTTCATGCTATCATGAAATTAGACAATCTGCAGCAGCTAACATGTGACAAGAAGCATGCGCATAAACATGTTAAGAAGTTGCTCTACTTACGTGACAGGGAAAATGCATCATATGTTGTTGATTCGAATACTGTGTGAAGTTGCGTTAGAAAAATAAAGCAAATCAATTCCACATTGCATAGAAAATATGCCTGTAGTTGCGCAAATATTTAATTAGACAAAATAATTCTTCACAACACTACCAGAAACGTTATCTTCGGCATATGAGAATCCCTCAATGCTATCGCAACCTTGTCAATATTGCAACATGTTAGGGTTCATGGGATGTTTTGTGATTATGACCTCTTCTTTTTGACAAGTTATCCAACGCATAATCTTCAATCTAAAGCATGCCCTAATGAGGCTGCTGTCTGTAGAATGCTAATTCGGACGGAAAACACTATAAAATCTCCAGAGAACGTATATGGATATACGGCCTTTGACAGAACATGTCACCAAAATCGAACATATATTGTTATAAAAAACGCCAAATTTGTAAGACTCTGGCCTATCCTACGGACATGAAGGGATTCAGTCCACTTTAGCTGCTTACTTAATCATTTCTGTACAATTATATAGGCGAGGCAAATCCAAGGAATCTTACTGCTGTCGTTCTGGGGCCCACATCAGTGAATCTCTCATGGAAGCCGCCCCAAATAGAAATAAATGGCACGATAATTTATGCCGTGAAAAAGAATGGCATGGATATGCCTAATACCACGGACACAGACTACTTACTTTCTGACCTACTTCCTTCAACCATGTATAACATTTCCGTTTTCGGATTGATCAACGAAACTGATTGGATTTTGCCCGGAATGCATACAACTGTAACAACATTTGAACCAAGTAAGTTCTGAATTTTACCTTTGCCAAAACTTTCGACCACTACTTTAGTAAGGCCGCCATCGTATCCAAAATCACTCATAGGCCTTTTATCCAGCATTCTCCCCCAGTAGGCTCCCTGTTTAATGGACATTAGGCGGTAAAAGTGTACCAGAAAGCACGTTTTTCCCGATGGGATGGTTAACCCTAACTCACTTGCCGGCATTCTACGATTTTACATTGGCAGCAGGTTTCTGTCTAATTTATAAGTTCGAATCTAGGTGCTACTGAGCGGTCCAGTCGCTGAGGACATCGGACACACACTCTTTTTTTTATCTAGATGGATACTGTGTCACGTGACATCAGGTTCGTCCCTGTCGGCCGTTCTACCAATAAAACGATTCGAATGAAATGGTCGGGAGTAAGTTGATGGCGATTATGTAGGTTTGGTGGGTTTTCAAATTCAACCCCATTAAGCGAATATGAAGTCGAAATATTGAAGCAATAAGTATACGCTTTTCTATGGAGGGTATTTCTTTCGAAACTCTTTAGTCTTAAAAGTGAAATACAACTATAATTTTTGCCGCAGTAAACCTTTCATGGGAGATGGCCGCAGACTCTGCTCTAATCACTGTCCAAAACTTACAAAAGTGTAGTATCTAATGGTTTGCCAATCAAAAATCTGAAGTATGTTTCCGATTTAAAAAAGATTACCTATGTGGGATTGGAATATTTATTATAACTTCACTTATGTCAGGATTTTGAATAATCTTCTTTTGGACCGGCTGCATAAACCGCACTCTGCAACTAATGACTGCATTTCCAGTATGAAGGCTTCTCATTGATTTTTGAGGCCCTCATAAGCGCAATTACATTTCGTACAAAACATGCACAAAATATTATCTCTTGTATGCTTGTGACATCAGATCACTTTTTCCTCAACTGTCTACTTGATGAAAGAGCATATTCTGGTTCTAAGCAGGTTCCACCTATGATGTATATTATGACCATTAAACTTCCATTTATACGAAAACTCACCTGCACGTTTATTAAGGCTACCTATAAAGAACACAGCCTGGTCCACATTCATTTCATCAGTACATGAGTCCTATTCGACCTCCTCCTGACACCTTGGAGAACTGTGCAATATTCCTGCGACGGGATGCATAAAGCATGTGTTTAGGAAAATCTAGATGCATATGTAGCGTCAGGCGAGGCAAAATATAATTTGGCATTGAAAACGCCTAGTTAAGACCGAAGGATATACTCTCGTTAATTGGAAAGGTTGAAGAAGCAATCTGTTGCCCCATGCAGACAAGAGACGATATTTTGTAAATATTTCCTATGAAATATAACTAAGTTAATGAAGCCATCCAAAAGAATAAGAAAAATTCAAACTACGTATGGAGTCATATTTACAGAGTGTGATTTAGCAGACGGCAGAAAGGAAGCTCATTCAAAAGCCGGCATCCTGGAGTGACTGAAATATATAGGATTGTGCTGCATGATAATGGATATTACATCCCTACGTAAGTAACCTTATCGAATCAAAAACATAATTTAGATTCTCGGTTGACATTTCATCTACTGTGTGGCAAGCAACGCGGGAAATATATCTTTTAACCTTAAGGCGTATTTTCAAAAAATATATGAAATAACTGGAAAGCGGTGTTAGAAAAGTAAATAAATGAAAGGCCATATCGTTTGGGGCGGAGAATTTACTGTACTTTCATAAAACGTGATTAGTATGTTCAACATTAAGGTCAGCAAAATGTGAAATAATTGGGATACTGAGATTTTGCCGTATGAATATTACCCAGTGGTCGCGTAACCACGTGGATTAACAGCTGTCCTGCGAATGTCCGACTTTCCTAACAGCGACGGTATTTAACTATTTGATCATGCTGATGTTGTCGATAGTGGAGATTTCATCACGTTAGTTGGCTGATTACCCAGTCGCCTGAATCCTCATCTCTGCCAACAAGAAATTTCTCTCTGCGAAGGCATCGTGAGAACGATAACTCTGGTCAGACAAAGGGCACGAAGGTACTATGAATGAGGGAAGGAGATCTTGGTGAGTAGGCGAATTGCGTCGTTAACACGCTCTGCAATAATTTTGCCCCTGGTGAACTCGAAAGTGTGATCGGACATTCAAGGCAGAGCTAGCATCGTAGACTTCATGTCACTTTACCACTGTGCTAATTCCTACTACGATGTGCGTTCCGGGATCAAAATTTTCGTCCTTTTGACTGGCAACGATGGCTTTAATTTGGCCGGATCGCAAGGAAGAAATGTACGCCTTCCCGAATCAGTGTATTCTAAAGCCCCAACCCTCGATGGCATCGGGCACCCTGTGTTCTGCGCGCAAACTCTACTGTCTAGGATAGCTCGTTGTCCGAGAACCTTTCTGGCTATTGGAGTGGTCGTATTTTCGAGTCGACCCGTTGGTGCAGTTGCCCCAGTAGCAGGTTGTTTTACGAGACTTCTTGACGGTATTGCCGTGCAGATCTTATGCCGCCAAGAAGGTGTATTTCATCTATCATGAACCCCTCCAGAGTTCTATTGTCAACGGGCGCCCGCGCGATGGCACAATCGTCTACTGACGTCCATCGGCCATTTATTTTCCAGGGCTACTATGTCGACGTATTTGCCCTTTGAGACAAATCCCGCTCTTAAACTTAACGATTGATTTCTTCTTTCCAGGAACTTTCCAAAATAAAGCGTTATTAATAAATACCCGGTTACATGGCTTAATGCGTATTAATAAGGCGGCCAAACAGTTTATACCATGACAATATATGGTTGTTATTGACGCACTAGTTGAGACTTAAACTCATCGACACTTTTCTGCGATCTTCTTCCCCAAATGAATACGGGTCCTTTTATTGTCCATTCTAAGTGCAGGCATTCTTTCAGGCGATTTGCGTTGAAATAAAGTAGAAAACAGGGTAATAGGATAAATATTAGTTCTGCCGAGATGGCAATTGCATTTTTGCATTAAGGATGGGAAAATGTAATCTTCTGACTTAACTCGTAATGCCTGACCCGCAGTGATCGATGCGCTCAACGCTTAAAACAGGCCAACGCATTCCACTACCTGCACTTCTAGTACGACTGGCGTGATTTATTTTCGCTCAAGTATGGGAACGGATTTTGAATTTTGGACATATTATACTAATATTCCTATTTGCGATACAGTCAATTTGTTTCTATCCCCACATCTAGGTCCGAACAAGGCATTCTCTGTGTGTCATCGCTTTTGGCTGTCCTTGTCTACCGTCGTTTTCAGTTATGCATTATTTGTAATTTAAGTATGCTTTATAATAAAGCAATGAATACAGGAAGCTGTTCAACACTTCGGTCAATTAAGGGTCTCCTAATTTTTTTCAACACATCAACTCCGCCATCAACTTCATTCCCTTTGACTCCATTGATTTCATTCTACCGTCTTGCTTCTCTCATAAACATCCCCGCGCTCGTTTCGTATAATAAAACAGAACGTTATTTCTAAAGTTAGCATCAATTCAGGAACTGTAAAAGTGTCCTTTGCCACAGCAACCAGACACAAAATATAACGAATACACAATAAAATGTTAGGCGTATATCAACATTGGCGGGTTAGCGTAAAGAATGTAGTCCTTTAAGTCCTTGCACATAAAAATGCTGAGAACTTGCATTTTTGTAGTGAGATTATTCAGGCATCTGTCACATCACCCGGAGTGCCATACGATGATTCTTTCGTAAGAAAAAAAGGTTACTAGCTCACTGAACGTTAAACCATATTTTTAGCGTACAAATCGCGGGCAGAGGGTAACTTTAGAGCAAGATTAAAAATTGCGGGGACCGAGACAGCATATATAAGCAGTTTCGTGATTACCTCCGCAGATTTTAGGGATTGAATTATGAGCGGGTGTAGACGTCTTAACGTCCAGAAAGCATGAGCTATCTGGGAAGATATGATGCGTGCAAAAGTCATTCAGCACGGACCTGTCCTGCTTATTTCTGCCCGTGCAATGCACCTTTTTGAAGAATCAGTCCCCACGCGCATACCTGACACGTATGTGTAACAAAAGTCGATCAGATTCTAAGTGCGAGACATGAGGGAAGCATGTGTATGGTTGGGTAACATGAAAACCAACCGCCGGTGTAATGGGATGTTAGGTTATCCATATGGGATGCACGTCATATTTTGATTCACGCATGACAACTTTTCTGTGAGTATTAGAGTTCTTGCTTTATGGAGCTGCATGTTGTCACCGTGCGCACAGAACCGAACTAACGACCCTGCTTCATTCCGAAGTCCAAACTGCGGTCGTTTGTTTTCAAAGGCCCTCAGAAAAGCTTATGAGCTTGCAACCCGCTGGCATTTCTTTGCTTCGGTTTGAACAGACTGAACAAATGCATAGATGTAAATCCTACTCCATCCGACACATTCGATACTCAGCGCTGGCACCCTGCATACGGCTGATTCCACCAACGGTGATTCTACACGACACGCCATAAAGTCCTTGCCGTATGTCCGCCTACAGCATAATGTTTAAACATTGTGTACTAGGGAGAACGTTTACTGCCTACGATGTACCGCCTTTCCTGACGAATCAGTCAGTCACTATGAACGCAATGACCAATCACCACCGGCCACTAGCGTTAATACGTGGGCTGCACGTCTCGAATTTAAATAGCCACCGTTGCTGCCGCCTTTTCAGTGGTGCCCTATTTGTTCCTCAGGACAGCTAGACCGTTGTTACCGACGATGGCCTCCGTTTGCTCTACAGCGTCGTGATCGCAGGCACGGAAGTTGTACGTGTACGTGTCTGTAGCCGACTTTTGTTGCACCTACCGCATCCTCTCCTCCCTCTCCCACCTCAACCCTGTGTCAAGACGGAGTGTAGAAAACTTAAAATGGGTTGGGGGGGGGCGCAGGCGGCTGATAGAGCTAAAGAGTCCACCTGCGCCTGCTACATACGACCTGGTCCCCCGCACAACACACCATTATTTCACGCAAATGAGGTGGGCGGCTTGGAGAATTCGGTTGCGAGAATTCTCTCACATTAAGCCAGCTATGCACGCCAATCTAGTAAAGCAATTAGCGCACCTGTTGGCAAACGTCCTGGATGAATTAAGGGGAGTCGTTAATTGCCATTGACAGGCAAAAGCATAGCGTCTGCATCCCACAAATACTACAACTGCCTGTGCATGAATTTCCCGTATCTGATATTGACTTCACTGAGGTGTCCGAAACGTCAGACTTCTGGTTCAGCGATAAAATTTCAAAGTTAAGCAACCAATCATACAAAGAGGTTGGGATCACTATTCTACTCTATCTAGCTTAAAGATAACGTATAGTAAGGCAGTTTTAAATTGATTATTTTTTAAAGTCCTTTTAGTTTGGTGACAAATAGCCGATACCTTACCTTTAGCTAACGTGCTCCGGCAACATTTCTATATTTAAATGAGATTCAAAGGGTTTTACAATTTTTATAAGATTTTAGTAACAAAGAACTATACAAAAACGTACTATGGCTAAAAGCGCTTTCATCAAAGAGCTGATTGGCATGGATTTAGCCTAAATAACCCGTCGAAAAATCTTTTAAATGTTACTGATTCTATTGCAACAAATAATAACATATCTGGTACATGCAGTAGGTTGTGGTTAACCAATGTTTATGGCAGTAGTGATTCTATGAATTTACCAGGCAAATTAATCGTCCGAATGCTGCTCATTTTGAACAATGCATTTATGTAGATGCCATCCTGCTGACATACGTTTATTAGTCTACCAAAGACCCTAGCAAACGTGTGCACTTTTGGTAGAACATATCTATTTTATTCATTGTTATCAAATCAGAACATAAATAAAAGCATATCACGAAAGCTTTGACTTATCTGTGAATAAAAGTTGCATGAATCTCTTTTAATGAGGCCGAGATGGATGTAGAACTTTTCGAGGATAAACCATGTTAATAAATTTATTAGTAGAGATCATGGACAAGTGTTATGCCGTGGGAAAACATTATTGCACTTAACCCTCTTATACTCTTAGATTACATCGTAAAAAAACATAATTTTACTATCGTGAAAGTTCCCATACGTAGACGTCTTACGTGTTGGCAGCGGATGTCATTTCGCTTTCCTATTTCCTATTTCGTTTTCCTATTTTATTCGCTGTATAAGCCACGATATGTTCATTTTTCGGAAATATCGAAATTCAATATGTTTCTGAAGTTAAATAGGTTTAACCAACTTAGTAGTTATACAGTGTGTAGGAATTTCACTATTATACTTTTACGGATACGTCCTGAGAAAATGGTAAAACACCACCTGACTTTAAAAAGAGGCATAAACAGCAAATTGATTTGATAAAAATGCCTTTTAAAAACAACTTGACAACTCCACACCATGGTTGCATGTCACGACAGTTCGAATGTGGTTGTCGCGGATTTCAACCTTATGCTTCCCAGCGAGGTAAGAGCAGGCACGGTAACTGCATACGGTGCATACCACCTCTGCTCTACGTACAATTATGCATATCTGTGGTAGAAAGACGCTAACCAAGAGAGAGAACCCATGAAAGACAGAGCCCTAATGCACAACGGACGAGTGAGTTTCGTGACAAGATCAGTGAGCGTACGTCTACCATTGTATATTAACGATCGCAACCGACTGGACAATGTCCCGGCAGCCCATTGGTCAAGGACGTTGAACTTCTACCCAGCAGGCCGCGGGATCGATCCGCAGGTGTTCTGCAACTTTGGGTTGGGTACGACTGGCAGACGACGGCTAATTAGCCAGAAGTGGTTATTCCATTCTTCCTTGTCTTTGCCAATAATACTATTTTACGTATATATATATATATACATATATAGGCAGAATGGCATTACCGACAAAGACAAGGGAGACTGGAATGGTCATTTCTGACTTATAAGCCGTCGTCAGCCAGTCATACCCAAGCCCAAAGTGTGGAACAGGTGTTCCGCACCTTCAGGTTAGATATGACTGGCATACGAAGGCTAATTAGCCAGAAGTGGTTATTCCAGTCTCACTTGTCTTTGTCGGAAATGCCATTCTGCCTATATATCATGTGCCGCTGTGCGGCTGCTGGTTGGGCTCAACAGAGAGCTCTTAAGGCACAACGGAACGAGTGAGTTCCGTATGAATAATCGGTGAGCGCCCCCTTACCATTAATTATGTATATATGTGTATCAACATGATTGAAGATTCAAGGTCCTGATAAATTATCTCGTTAGACGAAGAAGAAATAGGGGCGATTGCATAGACCACACAGTATTGCTAATGACGTTTCGGAGACTTCCTCGTTTCCACTATCAGGGTAGTGGTAGGGAGTTTGTTACTGCTGTCTCGGAGTTGTTCTGTTTCTCCGCCTGTCTTGTGTTATAGACATGCCTGACCACCGTTTCAATTGGGACGGTACTGAAGTGGTCGCCATGGCTAACACCAAACATGCGCGGGAATTCATCGAAGCGGGACACTCCGATGCAGATAGCATTAACCGCCATGTTGACTTAGATGTCCACTACAAGGGTCTCCGATCAGGGTAGACTGACTGGCGCCCACCTTAAGAACAACAACAGCTAATGCGTGCCCCGACATGCATGATCCCGCCCACACGCCATTTCTCCCTCCCTGCCGTACTCCCCTCCCCCCTTCAACACGGTGAACGACAACTGGGACCCACAACACCTACCCTCACCTCCTGTAGCCATCACAACACAATGCACACCTCCCCCTCGCAAGGTCGTCTGCTAACCTCTCTGTCTGCGTCCTCAACCAGCAGAGTGGCAACCCCACCTCTCACTATTAACTTTGTCTGACGACGGGTTGTTACAATCAGCTGGAATATTCACGAGTAAAACTCTATTTCCGACGGACTTCCTTCTTTTAGCATATGATTTCGTAATGCATACTAATTCAATTATCCAATGTATATATGTGCATGGAAGAGGAAGATGAAACGATCTCTGGGGAAGAAGGTTTATTCATCTGACGTTTCGCGTTCATGCCGAAGCACATCATCGGAAATAGACTAAGTGAGAAATACAGGGTTTAAATAGGCCATCTGCACCGATAGGATCGTCTCGTTCGCTTCTCGTTGGCCCTCCTCTCGCGCGTAGTTGGTACCTGACGGCCTCGTATGGCGCTGGCAAATCGATACCGCGGTTAATCGAGTTGGTGCCTGATTTCCAGGCCTCGATTACTTCCCTCGCCAGTTTGCTTTCGGCTCGGCCGAGCACTTGGGCGCCGACGAAATGCTGAAACTGAAAACTGAATGCACTAGTCGGTATATTCAACT